GGGTGAGGTCGTGGGAAGTGGGGAGATGGTGGCGTGGAATTGGTGTGCAGAGGATGAAGTTGGTGATGTTGGTGCAGTTTAGGCGCCTTGCTTGATGTAGGTTTGTGCAGGATCGTCATGGTGGTTGATGATGTTGTTCCTGAGTCCCTACTGACGGTATAGGCGGTAGGAGTGTGGGAGTGTGTTGGTAATGCTGTGGTGGGATGCATGGAGGAGGGGTGAGCGTTATGCTCGGCTTGTGTGACGATGGGGATGAGGCATGTGGTGGTGGTGGTTAGCAATGTGCGGGCGTCCATTACACGACTGTTTTCTGCCACTAAGGTGGGTGAAGGTGGCGGAGAGGGAGGTCGTCATGATGACTCAGATGTGCATGGAGCAAGGAGTTCTGGGGATGAAAAGGACTGTCACAAGTCTGCGGTGTCCACAACTGTCAACTCCGTCTTCGGTGTGATTGACAATGCGTCGGCGTGCAGTCTGTTCCCAGAACTGAAGCATTTGCCACCGAGAGTGTGAGTTTGTGCTCAACTGCATACTAGCAGGTGGTGAGTGGAAGTGGATTGGCCTCTGTCAGGGTGTTGCATTTGCAAAAGGTCTGCTTCCCATTTTCGTGGTTTGCTTTGTTGCTGGATTGGTGCAGCCTTGCAGTTGAGTGCAGTTTTCAAGTTTTACTTGAACTTCAATTGTTGGTGTTGCAGTAGATAGTTTAACTAGTGAGTTGTTTTGTGTTATGGCGGAGAGGATGAGTCGCTTGTGTTGGTGGAATTGCAGAGTGACCTTCATGGACTTCCTTCTGTTGGAGGATGGCGACACTCACCATCGGATGTCCGCCTTTGGCACGTTGGATGGATGGATCGGTGTTGGTCTGGTAGACATGACGCAACCAGGTTTGTTTTGCATTGCGTGGCGCTGGTTTGCACCCCTTCCTCATGCACTGCCTATGGGAGATCACTTCATTAGCATTTGTATTAGCATTGGTTGTATTGTTGGTAGTAGTAGTAGTAGTGGTGTGTGGCTTTGGAGCGCAATGCAGTTGTTGTGGTGGCTGCTGACGGGGACTTGATCAAATGTAGTGGGTGCTAGTTGTAGCCTTTTGTAACCATTTTAGAACTGAAGGCCTTTCACTTCACTTCCCACGACTCGGCCATCACCGGGCTGAAATTGTTTCGTCAATTCGATCAAGGTAGGGTTGAGTGAGGTTGTGAGTGTTTGAATTTGCAAAAACAGATTCCACTTCGCCGTCGGATGTGTCCCTGCTGGTGTGCTCTGGTCTGGAGCCTGTGGTGGTTTATCGGTAAGTGGAGGCTGAGGCTTTCCTGTTTGCTTGAGGAGACTTACAGTGTGGTTTGATTGGTTCACTTCCCTCCTACATGTCACAACTCTCCGACGCATAATCGAAATCACTGCGTCCTTGATTGTATGTAGTCCTGTGTCATGGAGGAGTTTGTTATTTCAAGGGATATGAGCGACGGTCGGGTTACATGCGGCACGATTGTCATGCAGTGGTGTTATATGAGGTGGGTAGGCTTGTAGGCTTTCGGAGTTCCCTTCCCCTCTGGGATTGGGGAAGCGAAGCCATGTAGTCACTTCATAGAGAGTCTATGCGTAGTGACATTTTTCAGGTGTCCCTTCCAGAACGACGGTAGCAACGGTGGTGGTGGTGGTAAGCTGACCCCGTCCTCCCGACTAGTGCTACCTCACAGTGCTGATTTCGACCACGTCAACTGTGCTTGTGTGGCCGACCTCGATTTCGATGGACTCCCAGAGATTGTTGTAGGCACTTTCGGTCAGCAGCTGCTCTTCTACGATTGGTGTGGCAAGCCTCATTCGCCAACTGAGGGTTCCTACACGTGAGTTGGTGGCACCTCGGGGATGTGTAAATTTGAGGCAGTTGATTTGTCTCGTTGCCTTCAAGAACGGGGCTTGTTGAGTCGCAAATTCTCTCATTGGAATCAGTGAGAGTGGAGTGTGTGTGAATGTTTTTATCGCCTCCTCTGTTTCCTCTTACTCCCTTAGTTTGGTGCATCAGCGTCGGATGGTGGGTGCGGTTCACAGCTTGGAATGCGGTGGCGAATGTGACTTTCTTGGTGACGGCATGTACTGCATAGCAGTCTTGACATCTCACGGCCTCCATCTGCTGCAATGCGCTCACCTCCTCGACTTTTGTGTGCCTCTCCTCGCCGCGCGTCTTCGTTCTCTCCCCTCCAACTTCCAATGTTCATGACGGCGCCGCTCTTTTCCATTGTGTTCCAACTCAGCTGCTCGC